GTTTGTACAGGGGTCTACTCCCTACTAACCCCATTTTTTTTTGAATACTTAAAGATTTTATTCTCATAATTACAGTGCTTGTTTGTTGAAATGAAAACTGAAAACAAATATATAAAACAGTTGATTAATTATTGTTTACTGAAAGCAAAAGAGGCTCTATGATGTCAAATAAATCAGTTTTGGGGTTTCTTTTTTTCCTAAAGTTTAATAGTTCCAGTTTCTTCAGTGTTTAACAAAATACAAAAGAAAGTGTGTTTAGTGCACTGATGTTATCTGTCAACATGTTTATATAATAGAGGGAGAATGTTTGTTTATCTAATTGGTTAACTGGAGGTCAATTAAGAGAGCTTCCATTGGAATGTCCTTAAAATGAATGAATGAATGAATGATTGAGTTGGCAACTCTACTAAAAAACAAACAAACAAAAGCCAGAGGAGTGGAACACTAGATAACTCAAGAAATATCCTAGGTTAAGAAAGGTAGAAAATTTGACTTCCAGAATGGAGGAAAGGGATAATTATAGGGGAAGAACACAAATCTGACCCTTTGCCCTATTATTTTGTGTAAACTTTATATTCGCATACTACGGTTATGTTAACTTTAGTAATCCAAACTACTATAAACTTTTGTAAATTTAACCGTAATGCATTCTTCTTCATTTATGTTGTTTTTCCAGTATCTATGTTCAGGTATTTAGTAAAGACATCCCCCCCCCCCACTGGATTAGCTTTTACTTGGTTACATTATTTTTCTTATTCTTAGCAGTGTGAAAACTAGAAGATATTGAATAGCTGTTAATAAAATTTTAGAAGACTGTCTTGTGAGAAAAGTAACTTATAGCATGTATTACATATATGTTTTAAAAGTTAATTTTAATTAAGGCAAGGTATATCTTTTCAGATTTTTAAATTGGTCTCAAATTTTTAAACTGATCTCAATTTAAATAAAGTTTTATAATTTTCTCTTCTGTAGAAAGAGAAAATGATATGTTACGTTTTTTCACTTAACAGAAAAAACATGGACCCATTTGCCAGAAAACCGCCACTAAAAAACGGAAGACTTTTGATTCAAGTAGACAAAGAGCTGAAGGAACTGATATTCCAACAGTAAAACCTCTTAAACCAAGGGTAACTATATAACCTTTTGAACAATATGAACCTTGCTATTATGTATAGAAGAAATAATAATTACCTGTTATACTAAGATTAAAGAATAAATACAATTGTGTGTTATGTGTTCAGTTTAGAAATTATCAGAAGCTTATAAAATAAGTTTTATCCTAAATAAAATTTCAAGCTTCTGCAAAATAGGAGAAGACCAAGGTGCCATCTCAAATTCCATCAATTACATTGAGGTTTTTGTACCATTGGAGAGCCAATTGCTGTCACATGTTCTTTCTAAGTCATTGTTAAAAACTTTAGGTATAACTTAAGTTTTGAATTATTACTATCTCTTATCAGTAGTATAATTCCTATATATAGAAAGTAAAGCTATTACTTATAGATATTTTAGCATAATAGATATTGATTATCTTGACTTATTGATTGCCAGTATTTGTAATCTATATTATGTCTTCTGGGGAAAAGTTTTATCAGTTGTTCAGTTGTCCACATACAGCTATTGTCAGCTCATTTTCTTTCTTGGAACCAAAGCAATGATAATCTCTGCTTAATACCTGTCATATAGTCATCCCTTAATATCTGTGGGGGATTGGTTTCAGGACCCCCCCCTTGGATCATCAAAATCTGTGAATTCTCAAATTCCTTATATAAAATGGTATAGTATTTGGATATAACTTATACACATCCTCTGTATATTTTAAATTATCTTTAGATAACTTATAATACCTAATACAATGCAAATGCTATGTAAACAGTTGTCATAGTGCATTTTTTAAATTATTATTTTTGATTATTATTATTATTTTTTCCCAAATTTTTTTACCCATGGTTGGTTGAACCCATGGATGCAAAACCCACAGATACGGAGGGCTGACTGTATATTGCTAAGAATAAATTATTTAAATACTTTGTCTGACATAGTTATAAAGACTCTTTTCAGGGAAATTATTGAAGCTAAGTACCTGATTGAATAGGTTTTGAAACAAAACCCTACTTTTGATGGTAATAACTTCTTCCAGTGGTACAGGAAAAACATTTCCCTATAGGGAAATTAATCTTACTAATAAAATCATTTGATGATAGAAAAATCAGGTATTCATCTTTAATTTTTAGTCTGTGAATATGTAAGGGAAGGATGATGAAATTTGAATAAGGTACATAAACCAATATTTCAATTTTTTTTTTAGTAACCTGGCAAATATATGATTATATTAACTTAAATTAGCTTAGGAAAGTAAACTAGCCAAATCATTGGAGGCAGTATAATATAGTGGGTATGAAAGCTGGCTCAAGAGTCAGAATGCCTGGATTTAACCCTGAGTCTGCTGCATTCTATGTTATTTTGGGAAAGTTACTTAATCTAATTATGCTTCTGTTTACGGGGTAAAATGGTGATAGTGGTAATATTTATCTTGTGCGGTCATTGTGGGGATTACATGAGATCTCATAATTGGTGATCTCAATAAATGTTAGTTATTCTATTTCTTTTATAATGAAGGGGATTTGAATACTTAAAAATTAATTTCCAGAAAAAGAGTAAAAACCATTGCTTTACATTAAGTGATTTATTGCCTTGCTGCTTAAAGTGTGGTCCATAGAATAGTAATATCTATGTTATTGGGGAACTTTTTAGAAATACAGAATCTCAGGTCCTTCCTAGACATACTGAATCTGCATTTCAACAAAATTCCTGGTGAGTCATATTCACATTAAAGTTTGAGAAGCAATGTCTTAGAAAATTTGAACATTGTAGTGTGGTTCTCAGTATATTTACGTTTATCAAAAAAATCCTTCAAATCACAAGCAGAGTGGGGGCAAAGCAACTACAAATTCCATTTTTGAAAAGACAAAAGGCAGGCATAATCCACAGATTACCAAAATATCTGTAAGGACTGCCTAAAGCAGTTGAGATCCAGGAGAAATTACCCATAAGAGGAAGTACAGGAAGTTGCTGGGGGAGGGCCATGGCTCAGATTCTGGAAATCTGCCACTTTAAAAGTGATTCCTTAAAGGTGAGAAGTCTCATTGGAGAATATATTTCTCTTGTTTACTATGGCCAAGGTGGGAACTGGGATGAGCTGTAGGAATTTGGGTAGCCAGGAACTGGAATGAGCAGGGATGAAATTGGATAAAAGCCAGGAGAGGGTAATGGGGAGAAAAGGAACAGAGGGTCAAGGAGGCCTAGTGGTAGAGGCCCTTGGAAAGCACTATAAAAATGCCCTACCTGAAGATGAAGGGCATAACTTAAAAGGCTGTGTCCTTTTTTTGAAGCGGTTCTTGAGGGATTTGAGGGAAGCAGGATTGGCAGCAGTAGCCCGCCTGGACCAGTATTGTTTTGGAGAACCAGAAGAGGCAGGTATACGTTATCACACAAAGACACTTTATTTGCAGGAAATAGTCTGTATCTCGTGCAACAGAGAAGAGAGCTGCTGGTTTGTGTAGCCTGGAAGGCTACACTGGGCCTCTCTTCCCCCAAATCTCTTGCAAATAGCTGTACCAGGAAAACTTAAATTATTCAGTGATAAATAATAAAACTCTTATTAGCTCAGCATTGATAAAAGATACTATGGGAAAAAAGAGAAAAGAGCAGCAAAACTTACCAGTAGATGAGTAATACCATTGTGGAGCAGATATTTTGCTATAGAATAAGAAACTTTAAAGAATCAGTCACTTCAAACATCTAAATTTGCTATTTACTATTTCTACATCCGTATTCATTATAGAGGTAGGTCTGTAATTTTTCTTTTTATCAAAGTTTTGCTGCTCTCAGAAAACTAGTTAGAAAGTTGTTTCCTTGTTTTCTATTCTCTGAATGAGTTTGTATAAGAGTAATGCTATTTTTTCCTTAAATGTTTGCAAGAATTAAAAAATAAAGGCAGCTGAGCCAGGAGGTTTCTTTGTGGGAAGGAATAGATTTATTTTTTAAAATAAATATAACATTTGTGATTTTCTATTTCTTTTGGTATCTGTTTTGTTGTGTTTTCCCAGTAAATCACCTGTTTCATTTTAATTATCAAATTGATATAAAGTTTCTTTTTACTATCTTCTTTTCTTTATCATGTTTGTATGAACTGTATGGTGTATTTCCATTCCTTAATAATTTGTGTTCTCTTTTTTCTTGATTAGTCTTGCCTTGTTAGTGTTTTTAAAGAGCCACCTTTTGACTTTGTTGATTCAACAAAAATTCTTTAAAAAATTTAAAAAATAAGGACATAATAGAAATAGTGGGATATTTCAATAATATGACAAAATAAATCTTTGTAGCTCGTGAGCCAGCACGATGTTTAGTGGAAAGGCAATAGAGGTAGTCCCATTAAAGTCAGGAACAAGATTAAGCTGCATCTAACACAGTATACACCAGCTGATCCAGTTCAGTAAGAATAAGAAATTACATGTGTAGAGTATGGGGAAAAGACTGGGTAAAACTGTTATTATTAGAAGACGTGATATGCCTGGAAAACCCAAGAAAATCAACTGAGAAATTACTGCAAACAATAAGGGAAAGGTGAGATAATATGGTATAATGTTACTATACAGAAAGTACTAGGCGTCATATATTCAGCAAACAACCTCTTAACACATAAAAATGAGAAAAGACCTATATAAAAGAACAAGACAAAATCTAAAATATTTAGGAATAAACCTCATGATAAAGATACAAGACTTCCACAAAGAAGTCTTTGAAAACCTACCAAAAGATACAAATGACCACTTCCTCAAGTGGAAATATAGCTTAGGTACTTGTGTAGGTAGACTCAGCATCATTAAGATTTTAAGTTTCTTAAGTTGTTTATGAATGAAATGTTTAATTTTTCCAGTTAAAATATAATTTTTTAAAATTAGGCAAGCTGATTCTAATGTTCATATGGAAAATATATGTATGAGAATAACCAGGAAAAGATTGAAAAAGAAGCAGAATAAAATAGGATTACTCTATCAGATATTAAAATATAAAGTTTCAATATTTAAATCACTGATACTGACACAGGATAATCACAACAATGGAACAGAAAACTAAGTTCAGAAATAGGCCCAAATCGATGAAGGAGTTTGGTATGTGATAAAGGTGTTATCTCAGTTCTGTGGGGGGCTGGGAGGGAGTCAATAAAGGATGGTGGGACAACTGTAAAGCTATGTTAAAAAACAAAGTTAAATCATTTGTCACATCATACACTAGGGTAAATTCCATATGAATAAAAATTTAAAATTTTTAAAACAACATTGTAGAAGTTCTAGAAGAAAACATGGGAGAATTTCATTTTTCCATCATGTGAGTTTGAGCATGGCTAAATATGACTGCAAATATAGAGACCATAAAAGAAAAGATCAGTAAATTAAACTATATTTTAAAAATAATGCTGCATATCAAAAGACCCATAGGCAAGGTCAAAAGACAAATTGTTGGTAGGAGGAAGGGCATAGTTCCTATAAAGAGTTACTATCAATAGAAATTGTGACAAAAAAGACCAGTAACCCAATAAATGTTAATCAGGAATATAAACAGTTCACAAAAAAGGCAATACAAGTGGTCTTAACAATATGAAAAGATGCTCAATCTCACTAATTAGAAAAGAAAATCCAATTAAATCCACAGAGGACTATTTTCACCTCTTTAGTGAGTTAATAACCCAAAAGTTTGATAACGTACTCTATTGGAGAGTCTATAGGAAAATAGGGAAAAAAACTTGTCTTAGTCTGTTTTCTGCTGCAATAACAATACTGCAAACTGGGTAATCTTTAAAGAAAAGAAATTTATTCCTCACAGTTCTAGAGGCTGGGAAGTCCAAGAGCATGGCTCTGGCATCTGGTGAGGGGTTTCTTGCTGCATCACCTATGGTGGTGGAAGAGCAAGCATGCATATGAGACAGAGAAAATAGAGGCCAAAAGTATCTTTTTATCAACTAACCCACTCCCAGCATAAAAGCATTAATCCATTTGTGAGGGTGGAGCCCTCATGACCTAATCACCTCTTAAATGTCCCTACATCTTATGGTATTAATGGTAAT